AAAAAAAAAAAAACTTGGCCAAAAAACTACTAGCTATAATTTACCAAGTACATTACAGAGCATAGTTCTTGGTTCTTTAAAATGTTACAAAATGCCTTCTAAGCTTTCGATTCAAATTTTTATATACATACAGATGCTTGCATCAAGTACACTGCCTACATCACTGTCTCTTAGAGTACGACCTCGCGTAAACGCGAGATGTCGGGCTACACTTATACAATATAAAATAAATAAAAATAGAGTTAGATATGTATTTTTGAACTAACACTCAACTCAGAACCCCCACAACCACAAGTCATAGATTTCGCTGTCACTTTATGTAACTTAAATTGTAAATAATTTATTACCTAAGTGAGAGCGGACAACCTCCATGTAACTGTAGTTTCTCTTGCCGGAGACAGGGCCAGGAGAGCGATAACAATCGGCGAGAAGTGTTGAAGTGAAGTAAGTAATGAAAGAGAAGACAAAGAGAATAACAGGACCAGCCACCCACCCTAACTGAGCCATTGCCCATGCTAAAGATAGCACCCCTGACCCTATCACAGCAGTTATTATATGTGCACTCGCTGTTAGCACCGTACCTTCAAAGTTAAAACGATACAGAGAAGATTAGTACAATGATATTCGATCAAGAATGACAAGCAGAAATCGAGAAATGGTTCAACATTTTAGAATACCAGTTCTTTTCTCGCGCCCATCATCGTCAATGTTTTTATGAACTTCTCCACTTTCTAGTACTCCTCCTTGTGCTGAATGTTCTACGTACATATTGGTGTTCTTCTGAAATTCTGACGATGCCATATATATATATATATATATATATGCGGTTTTGTAAGAGTGTAATACTTTGAAATCTTTTGAGTTAGGAAATAGAGAATGGTTAAGAAGTAAGGAAGATGGAGAGTATAAAAAGAAGGGAAAAGGGGGAACAAATGAGAACAATAAGTGAATTATCAGTTAAAAATGATTAAATTATGGGTCTCTTGCTCTAAGTAAAGGGCCAAAAGATATATGGGGCCCTTTACTTCCTCGGCACCTAAATTTAGGAAATTTTTACATACTATGAAATTTGGGTGGTATTATAATGGTTTTAGGTCAAGAGTGATGGCATTGATTTTTCAAACTCGAATAATCTTTATAAAATAAAAGGACGGTGATCTGGTGGAAAATTTTATTCCTTTACCCCTCAAAAATCAAATTGGGTTTTATTTTTGTGTACTGTATATAACTTTTTTACCCGTCAAACTATCGATTTTCAATAACGGTAATCTTGTTTGGCGACATCAAAAAATCAACTAAATAATACTGTAATAAGTTAAAATACACTATGGTGTAATAATTTTTTACGTCGACAACTCGACATCGTGTATATCCATATAACATAATAAGATAAATCAAAACCAAGATGACCCCCACAATTTGCTATTGCATTTGGTCCTAACCAATGAAAATGCAACGAGTGTGTTAGTCAGTCGTTGAATAGCAATTTGCCGAACAATGAAATCTGGAGAGAGCTAATTAGCTGATCACTCTCTTCAGTCGTTCTCATACTTTTGAGTCAGTTTGTTCTTTGATAAAGATTATGTTGTTTCCTTTTTCAATTTCTCATTGCCAAAAGATGAGTTACGTGACCTTATGATAATTCCCTAGTCGACAACACCACCTTCCATCTCACTGTTTCAATTCTAGTTGAACAAATATTCCTCTCTTGTACCAAATATTCTTCCCATTTCTTTTCTCTTAGTTAACCCAAAGGAATTGAAATACCCCTTTCATTTGTTCTTTTTTTGGTCTTAATGATGATATTAGACGATAATCAGGTCTATTATGCACACAAGAACTTCAACGGATACATGCATCCAAAGGCGGATCTAGTATTCGGCGGTAGCGGACACCCTTAATTTATCATTTCTCATAAAGATTAGTATAGAACCTATACTAATATCTGACTATTTTTTGAAGATATTTGCAAGTATATATAAAATTTTTGTCGAAGTTTCCGGTAACCCCTCAACCCATAGTGTGCCTCCGCCTTTGCATGCATACTACTTTAAGTTCTATGTGCAGGTTGTGTAAAATTATTTACGCAATCAAGTTACTCGTAAGATAATTGCAGATAAATTTATATGATAAACATTAATTGATAACACGATAAATATTATAACTGATACACTATCATACGTTAAAATTAAATAGTATAAAAAATCTTTTAATTGTTAGTGTATATAATTAACTTAAATCTTTTCTATAAATACATGTGATTCAGAGATACTATGTAAATATTTTACACCATCAACAAATGTACTAGAGTATTTACCTTATTTTTCAATTTGCAATTCATACTTAATGATGTTTTATACGTCAATACCACACAAGAAGGGGGTGATTTATATGGTGTCCAATTTTTCGCATGCACAGATTATAAAAGGACCTGGTTCTTCTATATGTTCCAACTACTACTGTTGTGGAATAATAAGTACAGAAAATAAAGAACACAACTATTTTACGTGAAAAACACCTGGCTCAAAAGGTGAAAAAATCACGGCCTACTTCCCAGTAGTATTTTTCCAAACTCTCCACTAAATCACTGAGCTAAAAACTACATTCTAGGATTAACTCTAATCCCGTTGTGGCAACCAGCCTCTAACTGCTATGACAACTTCAAGTTAACTCTAACTTGAATACTCTGAGTACCTGTTACAATTGCCTCTAGATAAAACTGAAAGGTACAATATGAAAACACCTACTATAATTGAACTAGAATAAAAGACAAACACTTGGAGCTGGTTTTTCTATCTGGTTCATGTAGCTTCAGGTTCACACACTTGAATCACACACGAACTGCTTGCAAAGTGCCTTGCTATTTTGCTCTCAATTCACGTTTAACTTATGCTTTTATGCGTCGCCCGTAGAATAAGAACTTCCTGCGATTTATAGAGTTAGTAGAGTAGAAAGCAACTGGAGTTCTAATACTACTCTTCCTTGGTGGAAGAGTTCTAGTTAATCTCAACTCCTAACTCCTTCCTTATCTTGGATAATATTCTCGTTGAGTAATGAGTCCTTCTCCTTATCAATTATGCAATCTGTTCGATCAAGAGATATCTATCATTATGGCAGATTTTGTTTATCTCCTGCATATGCATCTCACGTGCTTTGAATATGCCCGTGTCTATGCCTACCAGTGATGGACCTGGTTAATCCCTGAGTTCCTTTGTCAATCTTCAAAACTATCCTTTACTTGGGCCAACAAATTCCCCTTTTTTGATGATGACAAACTCTGTGCTTCCATAATCTTAGGCCCTATTTCAACTTAGCTCAACATCAACACAATGTTAGAAATATTTTCCCTTTTTATCACTTATCATCAAGGATCAGGTTCATTAGGTTATAAACATCACTGTTCAAAGCACAACCTTTTCCCCCCTTTTGGCATCATCGAAAAGTTGCATAAAAATGTGAGATAATTAGATTTTAAAACTTACTCATGGCCACTGGGGCTACTTCAAATGAAATCATGGATTAATCATCATAGATCAAGCTAAGAATTTTAACCATCAAAGAAATATAAACAAACAGTTAGAGAAAAAATAGTGAATTTCATTGATGATTGATACGATTCTTCTACAAAGCATAAAAAGAAATAAAAATACTGAAAACATGAGCAAACAAAACATCCCAAACTGGGTCATTGAAAGGTCTACACTGGGCTAGAAGTTTAAGGCTTGAAAGAACTGGGGGCTTGGTTTATGGCTTGGAGAAGTTTCAGCATGTCTTGAAGAATTCCATCATTCTTCTCCTTTTCCCTTGCTAGTTCTGTTCTGAGAGCATTTCTCTGAGTCTCCACCTCTGCCAACCTCTTCTTCAACCTCTCAATCTCAGCATCCTTAGCCCCACTTTCTTGCACCAGGGCTCGCACCTTGCTATTCACTGGTACCTTCTTAGATGAACCAGGTTCTTTAGGAGTGACATGGACTTCATAGTCACAAGCAGGCAACGTATTTTCCCCAAAATGATCCTTGCTTGTACCAACCTTCCTTTCTTCTTTGGATTATAACTTTTAGTCACTCTCTTCAGTAGGTCTACGAGGGTTTCCTATTCAGATGAAACAGGTTCATCTATATTTTTCCCAAGTTGAACCAACCCTTCAGCGGATTCGCCAGACCCACTTTCCCCTGTTTTCTTTACACTCTCCTCTACTCCAATAGATATTTTCTCCCCAAACAACCATTGCACCTGTGTCTTTGGTTAAACTCACAGGAGTGGGTTAAAAATTAACCACTCTTTTACCCTTTCCCCTCACAGCACTTCGAACACCCTTGCTCTCTTTTTCTTTTTTATTTTTACCACCAATTCCTCCAGACTTTGTAGTTTCAACACATGCTTTAGACCCTACTAGTACAAACCTATTCTCCAAATTTGTTCTCTCCCCGCAACAACCTTACGAGCAAGCATCTTTACTCTTTTCTTAGAGGTTGGGGTGGTGGAAGGGATGATAGTGGGTGTGAAAGTCTAATCAAACTGAATTTCAGTTTTGAAAAGACTTTGGAGTGTATCCCTAGAATCTAGGTACTTCAATTCGGTTGAGACTCTTTTGAATAGAATTGATTCACTTGTAGCAGATAAGTCCAAAAGAAGTTTGGAATTAAGTAGGACTCTGCTCATGATCCAAACATTATTATTTCAAATTATGCAGAGTGTAGAAAATATACCGTGTTATCTTGATGAACCAGGTTCTTCACTGAGAATACTCTTGTGTAAGTCTAAATCTGCCAAAATAGAGAAAATATCATTAGAGATTAATGAGTCATTTTAACACATGGCACAAGAGTATACTATTGAAAGTATGAGATTGAGCAAAAATTAATCTAAGTATGTACACAATTTTCAGATTTTTTAACCAAAAATATTTTTTTTTCGTTGTGTACTCTGAACTAGTCCTTTTAGGTGATCTTAATCATCCCTAATTCTAACCTGTTCCTTTCAAAGTGATCTCTACTTAGGGCTTTTATGAAGATGTCAGCTATTTGCTTGTCAGTAGCACAAAATTCCACAGTGATCAACCCTTTTTCATAGTTATCCCTCAAAAAGTGATGCCTAACATCTATGTGCTTAGTTCTCTTATGGTGAACCGGGTTCTTGGTCATACTAATAGCACTAGTGTTATCACAAAAAATGGAAATACAACCAACATCAATTCCAAAATCTTTTAATTGCTGTTTGATCCACAACAATTGAGCACAACATGAAGTAGCAGCAACATACTCAGCTTTAGCAGTAGATAAGGCCACTGAATTTTGCTTTTTGGTGGCCCAAGACACAAGACATGAGCCAAGAAAGTGTGTCATACCTGAGGTGCTCTTTCTATCCACAAGAAAACCTGCATAATCAGCATCAACATATCCCACAAGATTAAAATTACTACCTTTTAGATACCAAAGACAAAGATCAGTGGTGCCTTTCAGATATCTCAAAATTCTCTTGATAGCCGTCAAGTGAGACTCCTTCGGATTTGCCTGAAATCTTGCACAAAGGCCTACACTGAAAACAATGTCAGGTCTACTAGCAGTAAGATACAACAATGAGCCAATCATTCCCTTATACAACTTCTAATCAACAGATGAACCAGGTTCATCTATATCCAACTTTGTAGCTGTTGCATTAGGAGTGTCGATTTCTTTGGAATCTTCCATTTTAAACCTTTTAAGCAACTCTTTTACATACTTTTACTGATGGATCATAGTTCCGTTTGAATTTTGTTTAATTTGTAAGCCTAAAAAGAAATTAAGCTCACCCATCATGCTCATTTCAAATTCACTCCCCATTAGTTTAGCAAAATCTTTACTTAACTTATTAGTAGTTGCTCCAAAGATTATATCATCAACATATATCTGAACTACCAAGAGATCTTTACCTTTTTCTTTCAAGAACAAAGTATTGTCAATTTTACCTCTCTTGTAG